GACAGTGGAAAGCTACGTACCAAAGAGGTTGTGAAAGAAGTTGGTGAAGGAGCTGCAGCTCAGTTGCAGCTCATTCCTTTTGAAAAGACTGCTCTGTATTTGACAGAGTGAATTTGAAGTCTAGGAAGAGATAGTTATTAAGATTACCCTAGTCCCACCTCACCCTTGGAGGAAACCAGCGCTTGCGCTGGGGGATTGGGGGCCCAATTGGAGTCTGCGAAATCCAAAGCGATTGAGAAGGATGAGCAATCGCTCCTCAGGTCTGTTGGGAATTCACGTGCGCGTGTAAGAACTAATGAAGTACTATTGGGACTAACAAAGTACTTGTGGAAAATCCAGATTAAAAGTGGTCTTCAGGCGTGACAATTAGATAGGATATACCGGTAGCTGGGTCAGAACCAGCTTGTCACATTTTTGAGGACCAGACTGGCTGTTTTAGCCAAAATGGTGTGATATACTGAGTTGCAGTACCTAGCTGCAGTAGACAGACTGCAAAAGATGGGAGGTCTCAAGATAAGAGACAAGGCTGAGGTCAAGGGTTCAAATCCCTGGAGAATAGGGGCTCAAAGGAGTGAGTAAACGAACAATTGAATAAGGGCCGACAACAGACGGACAGATAGAATGTCCGATCGAATGAATCACATGCACGAACGATGACGTAACTTCAAATGTCATGTCAGAAACCAAAACATCTACAAGTTCTCAATTCCAATTGCTTGCATCTTATGACACAATTTTAGCAATTGAAAGATTGCAATGTCTCAAGATTATACAAAGTTCGATGAAGGAATTGATTACACCGTTCTTTCAATCGCTGTTCAGACATTGGCGCTCATATTGTTTGTGGAGATCGTGAAGCACAAGCTGGATCATTTTGCTCATGGCAGAGCATTTTTTGGGACCGTCCTCCACAGCATGTACGACGAGCTTTCGACTCTTGGCATTGTCGAATTGGTCGTGTACCTCGCCTTGAAGTATCTACGAGACTACGATCAGGCGAAGAAGGGGGTGTTTGCTGATGTTCATTTCTGTCTCTTCTACATTGCCGTGTTTAATGCCTTTCAAACGGTCATCGTTGCCATGGCTACAAAGCGAACAAGCACCAAGCAATGGGTTGATACCGAAAAAATCGATATTTCGCACTATATAGAAATACGGGAGGAGTTTGACGCCGTTGCGTCCAAGCTGGGCTATGAAGACGACTATGAAGCCGCAAACGTTGCAACTCTCAAGGGCTTCTTCCAAGATGTCGCGCAGAGCGTTCGAAGTCCTGGTCTTCGAGGACATTATCTGGACCTGTTGGTCCAGGTAAAATTTCACGGACTTCGGACTCATTTTCTCACCGCAAATTCTTTGCCTCTAACGCTTAAAGTCAGTGATTACTTGAAACGGTCAGAGGAAAGAGTGCTGTCGAAGTTGGTTCACGTTTCTGGTGGAGCTTGGTTAATGTTAACTGGCTGTCTCAGCTTGGCATATTTCCTCATGGGAATGGTTGCATATGTTTCTGAAGATCAAGAAGTTGTCGGGCGATTTCTAAAGGGAATCTTTTTCTTTATGTTGCTTATCTTCATCCTGATTTCGGTCGCAGTCTATTTTAAAATGAAAAGTACATTCCATACAATCATGTAAGTTTCTGGCAGAACGTTGAATTTGAGCTATTGGGATCTGATACATTGTCTTGCAGCACTACAAACTACAAGATGAGCAAAATGGATGACAAAACTCGTGCAACTGGTATGAAGAGTCAAAAGGACCTCTTTTGGCTTGGTGAACCACAGTTCGTGATTTCAATGATCCAATTCATGCAATTTGGGTATGCTTTAGCATTGGCCGTTGTGCTCATGTATTGGAAATCCTTTACTACATTTGAACCGTACTATTTTTTGCTTGCAGTTGTCGCCTGCTATAGCATTTTTGTTTTCATTGTGTCACGAACTCTTCCACAGTATACACTGTGCACTTCCTTGGGATATCTTATCGATGAAAAGAATCTTTTGGAGACAGTGGCTCTTGACAGATTGGAAGAAGCCCGACGACTGAGGATCCAGAGTATGGCTGAAGCTAACTGTGAGGAAGACTCGATCGTTTCTTTTGAAAGCAGTGAACGATTTGGCGCCAAAATGAGGGGGGATTCTACAGTCTCTGACGATTCAGGTCGGATTACACCAACAGGGATTCCAAACAGGAGCAGCATCCTAGCAGAGTTAGTTCAATCCGACACACAATCGCTAAGAACAAACCTCCCAACCAGTGTTCGACAAAGTCTGCGCGACCGGGAGTCTCGTCGCCTTGAGAAGAGGAAATCGCTTTCGGATGGTGTAGGGTCGATGAGGCTATCACTTCGAAGTAGCAAGGGAGAATCATCGAGATTTCTCCTCGAAAGTCAGCCAACTTCGGAGCACAGTGACGAATCGCAACGAACTGTTGACGACAGCCAAATCCTCAATCAACAACGTATGGAAAGAGTTGCGACAAGGAAGGCGCAACAGAGGGCAATGTCAGAGAGCAGTGTCATTCAATCTTGGCAAGGCATCACCAAAAAAGAGCGAAAACTCGGAGGCATCAGTCTATCGAAGCAGTCATCAAGTCTCTCTGATTCTAGCTCAGTCGCTGCCAATGATAGGAGTGGTTCAGCATCACTTGCGAAAGCTGACCAAAGCTCAATGCGGCCGTCGCAGCGGGCTGGTTCTTTTTCCACAAAAGAGACATTTGGAAGCGAGGTGCAATCGACAGTGAAAACTGTGGAGAGCGATATTCATGATGAAACGAATCTGGCAGCTGCTGCCGAAAGAACTGACGATTCGGTCGGTGCTTTAAGTGATGTTGATGTCAAAGACTGGACCCCAAGTGAGCATACTGGAACTGTTGACGAGAAAAAATATGATTATTCGTTTCAAGGGATTCTCGCTTACACTCGAAGCTACCTTTTGGGACATCGGTACCATACATTTAGCCATGTATTTGGCTCGCTAGTGTGTTTCTTCCTTGTTGGTCACAGAGTGGAGGTGATGTTGTCAGCAACAGGAGCTATTGAACCAAGTGCAAACACATGGGAATTGGATTTGAGTATTAGTTTCTGGGTCCAAGCGATTTGGTATGGATTGTTCATTCTTTCCAGCATCTTGATACTAATTCTTTTCCTTCCAATCAAGGTCAAGTCCATGGATGACAAGGCGATAATCGCAGCTGGTTTGTTTGATTTCATGCTTTCCGGTGGCTGTCTTGCTATTCTATTCCTTGCCGAAGCTGAAAGATGTTGCGACAGTTCTGAATTCGAGGGAGATGTGGGATGCTGTCCTTTCTGGGGCTCTCGGACATACGGCGGGCTCGGAGATATCGAACCTTTCACTTCGCTGATTGGATTGCGAGTATTCCGGTTCATGGCAGCGCGTTCCTTGGTGAAGTACTACGAACACCTTCAGAAAGATAGTGTGGAGGGAAAGAATATAGAACCAAAGAGTGAAAAGAAGCATAGTGATGGGCACTCGATGCAATCGCAAGTTGGCACTCCATTGGAACTCTGGGAAAAGGCAATCACTGCGTATCCAGATATTGTTGAGAAATATGGTCAACTAAGCGGTGAACTGTTTGAAGCAATGCTTGGTCTCGAAGTTTTTGAGGGAAAGCCACCGGATGCGATGAAGGAGGAAAAGAAAAATCGCCAGAGGTCCATCAGTTTGAGTGGATCTGAGTATGGTAACCTCCCAGCTGACGCCCAGTCGATCATCGTTGCTGGTAAACTTGGGAAACCGGTCAAGACTCTACACGACCCAAAAAACGATCTCCCAGCGCTTGCTGAAGAAGTCGACCAGGATGATCTCGAGTTAGATGGTGCAGTGAAATCTCAGCCAATCGTGTTTGAGATTGACAATGAACGGCTTGCATTAGAAAAAGTGACCCATTCCAGCTTTGTAGCACCGAATGCGAGGCTCATTCGTAGCATGAGGCGCTGTGATCGGAAGATGTTGCCAATCTTGACGGATTGGGAGTGTGTTGATGTTGTCCTTACAGAGTTTGAGGTTCTTTATTTCGAAACTAATGATCCTCGTACTGTGGCCTCCAAATCTCACAACGATGAATGCTCTCTTCTTGCCCTTCAAGCAACTGGAGGAGGAAAAGGGTTGCGACTACAAGATGTTGCGAAGGGCCGAAAGATTATAGGACACATGATGCTAACGGACGTAACCGAGATTCATGTAGAAAGAAGTATGCCACTTTCCTGCTCATCGCAAAACGAAGACATATCTCAGCTCTACGACAGCGATGACCAACTTCCAACAGAATTGTGGACCCGGTCACAAGGCAAAAGTAAAGCTACTGGTTGCAGGAAAGCAAGATGGGAAAAGATCAAAGAGGACCGTCTGAAGCTTGTTTCGTCTCATGGTTGCCTCGTTCTGCGCTTCTTTTCAGATCTAGAAGACGTTGAAATGCACTCCAAATCTGTTGCACCCGAGGACGAAGCGCAAGGGCCACTTCGAAAGAATATTGCTTTCCAATGGGCTCAGACTGTTGCCCACGTATGCGGGAAGGAGAAATTGCACCAGTCTCTACCTCACTTTGGGGAGAACAACAGTGACGAGCTTCGTGATCTACTTGAGTTTGCCAACAATCATGAAAAGGAGCACAGTATAGTCCTGAAGAACCTGAAGGAAAAAACTGTCGCCAATCCTGTGAAACCAACAATTCGTCGATCACACTCAATGGAAACAGAACGTTTTGGCTTGAAGGGAAGAATTCGTCGTCGATTGTCCCTGTCCAGCCAAGGAACACAAAACTTTGTTTCACCGAAAGATGGTGTCGTTGAGGAATTACAGAGCGCAGAGGCAACTGAGCAGAAGGGCCTCAAAAATATTGATGGCATGGAATGGACATAAATGGGACGTGACTTTGTATGCCTTTACTTTACTACAGCGATATTTCTATATAAATTCAACGTAGCAGATAAGGAAAAATCTGGACTATGACAAAGACTGTTTTGAAGTTTTCCACTGTGACCATTCGTTTTGTACATTGGTATTCTGGTAATTCCATAGTAACACATCCTATGTCGTGATTTCTTCTCGATGAAGTGTTTGTTGCTGACACAGCAGAAACACTCATTGGGTCATTTTTTAACTTCCAGACATACCAGCATCAGACTACTTTCGAAGACCCGCAATAGCAGCCAAAAAACCACCAGGCTTTGCTGGTTCTTCCTCCTCTTCACCTTCCTCCTCTTGTTTCCTCTTCTTTATGTCCTCCATTGTCAGCAAATTGGACTTTGCGACAGAATCGACTTTGAACTCGGCATCTTCTGGAAACCCGTAATCTCCAGAATAATCAACGGCTCGATCAGCGTTTACAGGGCAACGATTACCCATATTGGGGTTTCCCTCTGGTCCATATTTTTCAACATGGGCATCGTAAGCGTTAACTAACTCTTTGAATTTTGATCGCAACGACTCGTGCCACATCCACTTGCGTTCTGCCATTTTATCATTCGCAAGTGTCTTCCATCTTGGTCCCAGATCCCGTAAATGTTCGTGAAGCGCACGACGTTCAGTCAATGTGAGCCCAGTAGTACGCATGGACTCTAGTGACGAAGGATGCATTGGCTCAATCGATGACGGGTCCATTCTAAGCAGCAACAGAATATTTGTGCGCTTAAACTTGCGTGCGATTTGTTGAGGCAGCACCTTGCCATTCGGGGTAGTCTTTTTTACGAGATCTTCTTCGCTCATATCGCGGATTTTGACTGGCATGTGTCTCCTTATCATTTTCAAAGCATTTTGATTCCTCTCTCTGACGCTCTCTTCCCACTGGCGCTCTTTTTCCAGCTGTTCCACTGCCCATTCTTTGGACTCCATCATCGCACTTTGGTAACGCGTTAACTCGGACGATAAGCTTTCATAATCCTTTTCAAGCATTGCAGCTTCTCTTGTGTCTGAGGTACTCATCATCTTTTCAGCAACAGCTTTGATCTTCTCCGTGACTTCGGCCACCTTCGCCTTCGCCTCTTCGTAAGGAATGTCGTCTTCGGGTATCTCAATTCTAGCTTGTTTCAGGGATTTTTCCAATAGCTTGGTCCTTTTTTCGGCATGATAAAGTTCTCGCAACAACTTCTTGTCTGCCTCGGACTCGGCATCCTCCAGTTCCAGTCGATAACGGATCGCTGCCATCATTTCTATATCATCTGCTTTTGCCTTCGGCTTTGATTGAGCCGGTTGCTTTGTTTCGACTGGAGCTTCTTGTGACTCCAACTTTCCGGATGACTCATATAACGCCTCAGTTGGAAACCCATAGTCTTCTTCGGTGTAGTCAAGAATGCGATCGGCTTTGACATGTCTATTTTGTGGATCATCATGGTGCGAGTCATAGGCAGTTTGCACCTCCTTGAATTTAGCCTTCAAGCCATCGAACCAGAGCCATTTTCGCTCAACGTTTTTGTCTGCTTTCAACTTGAACCATTTTGTTCCAATTCCTTTCGTATGCTCGTGTAATGCTCTTCTTTCTGTTACTGTGAGCCCTGTCGTGCGCATTCCTTCAAAGTACGAAGGGTGCATCTTTTCAATGTCCAAAGGATTGACCCTGAGGAGCTGAAGTACGTTCGTCCGTTTAAATTTCCTAGCAAATGCTTGCGGAAGAAACTTTCCATTTGGGGTAGGTTCACTGACAAGCGCTTCTTCAGTCATGGAACGTACATTCACTGGCATGTGACTCCGTACCTGCTTTAATGCGTTGATATTATCCGCCCTCACTGAGTCTTCCCACTCCTGCTCCAGACGCTGTTGCTCCTGCGCCCACTCATCTGTTACCATCATTGCAGTAGAATACTTCATCATCTCTTGTTCGAGTTCGAAGTATCTTTTTTCCAGCAGGTAAGGGTTTTGCTCGGTGTTTTGTAGATTCTGCATCTGTTTCGTGATGGATGCGATTTTGTCCTTGCACACTTCGTATGGAATGTCTGCAGGTATAGGGATACCATTTCGTTTCAAGTGTTTCTCCAATTTCTCATGGTAATCTTCGGTAGCTGACAATTCGCGAAGGATAGTCTCTGTATTTCCTGACCGTGGAAGATCAAGTGTTGATTGTCTCGATTTGAGGAATTCCTCTGATAATTTCTCCTCACCTGTAACTCTTGAAGTATATTTTGAAGATTCTGCAGGTTTTGGAGCAGAGGGCTTTGAAGCTGTCATCGAGGAGGTTGGATCGATGGAATCTGGATTCACAGTTTTCGTATCCACAAGTTTGAGTGTTGGCACCCTCTTCTCCTCTATTGGCTTTCTCGTTTCATCCATCTTTTTCTTTCGCTGCCCAATTTCGGCAAGCATACCCCCCATTCCACCGAGCATCGGACGCCGCGGAGGTGCAGCATCTTCGCAATTAACAGAGCTTTCGGTATGCTTGGGCTTTGGTGACACCGGTGCTTCCTGATCTGCAGATTGCGAGTCGGCGGATTCTGTGTTCGCTGTTTTTGTATCCACAAGTTTGAGTGCCGGCACCCTCGTCTCCTCCATTGGCTTCCTTGTTGCATCCATCTGTTTCTTTTTTTGTCCTATTTCGGCAAGCAAACCGCCCATACCACCGAGCATTGGAGGTCGCGGAGGTGCAGCTTGTGCTATGGTCACACTACTTTTGGTGTCCTGAGGCTTCGATGAGACGAGCGCCCTCTGATCCACAGGATCGCCAGGACCGCCTCCACTGGGACTGGAGGGACTACTTCGGTCAGGCGAATCGTCATAGTGATGTGCTTTTACTTTCTCTTCGTTTTCACTTTCCAAAGCCTTTTGCCCTATTGGCGCTTGTTCAAAACGTTCGTGCTCTTCAAGTTCTTGCCGAAGCCTCTCTTCCTTTTGTTTTCCTTCATTTTCTTTTTCCAACCGATCCTGCTCCAACCTTTCCTGCTCGACACGCGCCTCCTCCAAGCGCTCTTGCTCTAGATGTTCTTGTTCCGATCGTTGCTCCTCTATCCTTTCCTGCTCGTCACGCTCTTGTTCCAGTCTTTCATTTTCACGGCGTTCCTCTTCTTCACGCTCTTGTTCTAGTCTTTCATTTTCACGGCGTTCCTCTTCTTCACGCTCTTGTTCCAGTCTTTCTCTTTCACGACGTTCTTCTTCTTCACGCTCTTGTTCCAGTCTTTCCTTTTCACGACGTTCCTCGTCTTCACGCTCTTGTTCCAGTCTTTCCTTTTCACGACGTTCCTGCTCTTCGCGCTCGCGTTCCAGCATTTCCTTTTCGAGACGTTCCTGCTCTTCACGCTCGCGCCTAAGCCTTTCCTCTTCGAGACGTTCCTCTTCTTCACGCTCTCTTTCCAATCGTTCCTTTTCGAGGCGCTCTCTTTCCAATCGTTTGGCCTCTCGCTCCTTTGCCTTTTTTTCTTTTTCAGCTTCTCTATCGTGCTCCTTTGCCTTCCTTGCCTTTTCAGCTCTGTTGGCAGTCTCACGTAACTGACGTGCCTGTTTCTTGAGATTCTCTCGGCGTTCGATGGCGGCTCCTTCCGTTTCCCATTCTGGCGTTTCTTTTAGTTGATCATAATATTTCTCACGTTTGCTCTGTAGCTTCTGATATTTTTCGTCAGATGAATCTAGCTCTTTCAGCATTGCATCGACCTTATCAATCTTTTTCTTAAGAGTCTTAAAGGAGTAGTCGGACATTTCAAGATAGAAGGAATGGCAGAATGGACTGACGAATGAGGAATGAAGATTGCTCTGATATGAAAAATGAACGACAAACAAAGTACAGATCCTGAGACTGGAGGATGACCCCGGACGAAGAACGTACATGTACCAGGGTACTGCGATAGCTCATCCTTCTCAATCGCCTACTTTTTGATCGGCAAAGACGGGAGACGTATGGGCGTTTCTAGCTTAGTCTCAATTTCCGTCGTGTCGATTGCGGCGCGTCGATTCAGCAAGACGGGGTAATTTTCCGAAATATGGGTTACACATGGACAGACGGGGTCCCAGTGCCACCAGCGGGATCTCCTGTCGATTCCCGCTTGACCTGCTTGTCCAGCCGTTAAATTCTAGCGATGCAACTTGCCAAAATAGACCTCGCCTTCAAACACCTGCCTGAATATCCGGCACGGGCCAACGGATGAATGATCGCCAGTCGAGTAGACGACTGAAACCGTTGTCGCCACATTAGCTTCCGGTGCAGAAATAGGATTTCCATTTCCGCACGGTGCAGAAATAGGATTTCCATTTCCGCACGG